ACCCAGAAAATTTGGCACTGCTGTGAATAGTTTAGTCGCAAAGTGAAGATTCACGGGTAAAAAGCCCCAAACTTGGAGATAGGGTATTATTCAGCTTTCAGCAGCCGTGGGCGAGTTCTTTAGAGAAATGTGGATCTTTTTCTGGGTGCCCTTGTCTATGTCCAGCTACACAACGAGATGAGGATGGTCATTGTCATTTTCTGAGTTGCGAACGGGCAGAAAGATGAGAAAATGTCGGATTTTGACCATTTGTGCTCACCTTTCGATTTCAACGTACCTCTCTATAACATGAGCCAGCTTTAATGTCAGTAGTCGCATATGTTTGATTTTTGGTTTGCTTGTGGGGCGCAGGCACCCACATTCAGTGACCCAGAAAATTTGGCACTGCTGTGAATAGTTTAGTCGCAAAGTGAAGATTCCCTTGTAAAAAGCCCCAAACTTGGAGATAGGTTATTATTCAGCTTTCAGCAGCCGTGGGCGAGTTCTTTAGCGAAATGTGGGTCTTTTCCTGGGTGCCCTTGTCTATGTCCAGCTACACAACGAGATGAGGTTGGGCATTGTCATTTTCTGAGCTGCGAACGGGCAGAAAGGTGAGAAAATGTCGGATTTTGACCATTTGTGCTCACCTTTCAATTTCAACGCACCTCTCTATAACATGACCCAGCTGTAATGTCAGTAGTCGCATTTGTTTGATTTTTAGTTTGCTTGTAGGGCGCAGGCACGCACATTCAGTGACCCAGAAAATTTGGCACTGCTGTGAATAGTTTAGTCGCAAAGTGAAGATTCACGGGTAAAAAGCCCCAAACTTGGAGATAGGGTATTATTCAGCTTTCAGCAGCCGTGGGCGAGTTCTTTAGAGAAATGTGGATCTTTTTCTGGGTGCCCTTGTCTATGTCCAGCTACACAACGAGATGAGGATGGTCATTGTCATTTTCTGAGTTGCGAACGGGCAGAAAGATGAGAAAATGTCGGATTTTGACCATTTGTGCTCACCTTTCAATTTCAACGTACCTCTCTATAACATGAGCCAGCTTTAATGTCAGTAGTCGCATATGTTTGATTTTTGGTTTGCTTGTGGGGCGCAGGCACCCACATTCAGTGACCCAGAAAATTTGGCACTGCTGTGAATAGTTTAGTCGCAAAGTGAAGATTCCCTTGTAAAAAGCCCCAAACTTGGAGATAGGTTATTATTCAGCTTTCAGCAGCCGTGGGCGAGTTCTTTAGAGAAATGTGGGTCTTTTCCTGGGTGCCCTTGTCTATGTCCAGCTACACAACGAGATGAGGATGGTCATTGTCATTTTCTGAGTTGCGAACGGGCAGAAAGATGAGAAAATGTCGGATTTTGACCATTTGTGCTCACCTTTCAATTTCAACGTACCTCTCTATAACATGAGCCAGCTTTAATGTCAGTAGTCGCATATGTTTGATTTTTGGTTTGCTTGTAGGGCGCAGGCACCCACATTCAGTGACCCAGAAAATTTGGCACTGCTGTGAATAGTTTAGTCGCAAAGTGAAGATTCACGGGTAAAAAGCCCCAAACTTGGAGATAGGGTATTAATCAGCTTTCAGCAGCCGTGGGCGAGTTCTTTAGAGAAATGTGGGTCTTTTTCTGGGTGCCCTTGTCTATGTGCAGCTACATAACGAGATGAGGATGGTCATTGTCATTTTATGAGCTGCGAACGGGCAGAAAGGTGAGAAAATGTCGGATTTTGACCATTTGTGCTCACCTTTCAATGTCAACGTACCTCTCTATAACATGAGCCAGCTGTAATGTCAGTAGTCGCATATGTTTGATTTTTGGTTTGCTTGTTGGGCGCAGGCACCCACATTCAGTGAGCCAGAAAATTTGGCACTGCTGTGAATAGTTTAGTCGCAAAGTGAAGATTCACGGGTAAAAAGCCCCAAACTTGGAGATAGGGTATTAATCAGCTTTCAGCAGCCGTGGGCGAGTTCTTTAGAGAAATGTGGGTCTTTTTCTGGGTGCCCTTGTCTATGTCCAGCTACATAACGAGATGAGGATGGTCATTGTCATTTTCTGAGCTGCGAACGGGCAGAAAGGTGAGAAAATGTCGGATTTTGACCATTTGTGCTCACCTTTCAATTTCCACGTACCTCTCTATAACATGAGCCAGCTGTAATGTCAGTAGTCGCATATGTTTGATTTTTGGTTTGCTTGTTGGGCGCAGGCACCCACATTCAGTGACCCAGAAAATTTGGCACTGCTGTGAATAGTTTAGTCGCAAAGTGAAGATTCACGGGTAAAAAGCCCCAAACTTGGAGATAGGTTTTTATTCAGCTTTCAGCAGCCGTGGGCGAGTTCTTTAGAGAAATGTGGGTCTTTTTCTGGGTGCCCTTGTCTATGTCCAGCCACACAACGAAATGAGGATGGTCATTGTCATTTTCTGAGCTGCGAACGGGCAGAAAGGTGAGAAAATGTCGGATTTTGACCATTTGTGCTCACCTTTCAATTTCAATGTACCTCTCTATAACATGACCCAGCTGTAATGCCAGTAGTCGCATATGTTTGATTTTTGGTTTGCTTGTAGGGCGCAGGCACCCACATTCAGTGAGCCAGAAAATTTGGCACTGCTGTGAATAGTTTAGTCGCAAAGTGAAGATTCACGGGTAAAAAGCCCCAAACTTGGAGCCAGGTTATTGATGAATAGTTTAGTCGCAAAGTGAAGATTCACGGGTAAAAAGCCCCAAACTTGGAGATAGGTTATTATTCAGCTTTCAGCAGCCGTGGGCGAGTTCTTTAGAGAAATGTGGGTCTTTTTCTGGGTGCCCTTGTCTATGTCCATCTACACAACGAGATGAGGATGGTCATTGTCATTTTCTGAGCTGTGAACGGGCAGAAAGGTGAGAAAATGTCGGATTTTGACCATTTGTGCTCACCTTTCAATTTCAACGCACCTCTCTATAACATGACCCAGCTGTAATGTCAGTAGTCGCATTTGTTTGATTTTTGGTTTGCTTGTAGGGCGCAGGCACCCACATTCAGTGACCGAGAAAATTTGGCACTGCTGTGAATAGTTTAGTCGCAAAGTGAAGATTCACGGGTAAAAAGCCCCAAACTTGGAGATAGGGTATTATTCAGCTTTCAGCAGGCGTGGGCGAGTTCTTTAGAGAAATGTGGGTCTTTTTCTGGGTGCCCTTGTCTATGTCCAGCTACACAACGAGATGAGGATGGTCATTGTCATTTTCTGAGCTGCGAACGGGCAGAAAGGTGAGAAAATGTCGGAATTTGACCATGTGTGCTCACCTTTCAATTTCAACGTACCTCTCTATAACATGGGCCAGCTGTAATGTCAGTAGTCGCATATGTTTGATTTTTGGTTTGCTTGTAGGGCGCAGGCACCCACATTCAGTGAGCCAGAAAATTTGGCACTGCTGTGAATAGTTTAGTCGCAAAGTGAAGATTCACGGGTAAAAAGCCCCAAACTTGGAGATAGGTTATTATTCAGCTTTCAGTAGCCGTGGGAGAGTTCTTTAGAGAAATGTGGGTCTTTTTCTGGGTGCCCTTGTCTATGTCCAGCTACACAACGAGATGAGGATGGTCATTGTCATTTTCTGAGCTGCGAACGGGCAGAAAGGTGAGAAAATGTCGGATTTTGACCATTTGTGCTCACCTTTCAATTTCAACGTACCTCTCTATAACATGACCCGGCTGTAATGTCAGTAGTCGCATTTGTTTGATTTTTGGTTTGCTTGTAGGGCGCAGGCACCCACATTCAGTGAGCCAGAAAATTTGGCACTGCTGTGAATAGTTTAGTCGCAAAGTGAAGATTCACGGGTAAAAAGCCCCAAACTTGGAGATAGGGTATTATTCAGCTTTCAGCAGCCGTGGGCGAGTTCTTTAGAGAAATGTGGGTCTTTTTCTGGGTGCCCTTGTCTATGTCCAGCTACACAACGAGATGAGGATGGTCATTGTCATTTTCTGAGCTGCGAACGGGCAGAAAGGTGAGAAAATGTCGGATTTTGCCCATTTGTGCTCACCTTTCAATTTCAACGTACCTCTCTATAACATGAGCCAGCTGTAATGTCAGTAGTCGCATATGTTTGATTTTTGGTTTGCTTGTAGGGCGCAGGCACCCACATTCAGTGACCCAGAAAATTTGGCACTGCTGTGAATAGTTTAGTCGCAAAGTGAAGATTCACGGGTAAAAAGCCCCAAACTTGGAGATAGGTTATTATTCAGCTTTCAGCAGCCTTGGGCGAGTTCTTTAGAGAAATGTGGGTCTTTTTCTGGGTGCCCTTGTCTATGTCCAGCTACACAACGAGATGAGGATGGTCATTGTCATTTTCTGAGCTGCGAACGGGCAGAAAGGTGAGAAAATGTCGGATTTTGACCATTTGTGGTCACCTTTCAATTTCCACGTACCTCTCTATAACATGAGCCAGCTGTAATGTCAGTAGTCGCATATGTTTGATTTTTGGTTTGCTTGTAGGGCGCAGGCACCCACATTCAGTGACCCAGAAAATTTGGCACTGCTGTGAATAGTTTAGTCGCAAAGTGAAGATTCACTGGTAAAGAGCCCCAAACTTGGAGATAGGGTATTATTCAGCTTTCAGCAGCCGTGGGCGAGTTCTTTAGAGAAATGTGGGTCTTTTTCTGGGTGCCCTTGTCTATGTCCAGCTACACAACGAGATGAGGATGGGCATTGTCATTTTCTGAGCTGCGAACGGGCAGAAAGGTGAGAAAATGTCGGATTTTGACCATGTGTGCTCACCTTTCAATTTCAACGTACCTCTCTATAACATGGGCCAGCTGTAATGTCAGTAGTCGCATATGTTTGATTTTTGGTTTGCTTGTAGGGCGCAGGCACCCACATTCAGTGAGCCAGAAAATTTGGCACTGCTGTGAATAGTTTAGTCGCAAAGTGAAGATTCACGGGTAAAAAGCCCCAAACTTGGAGATAGGTTATTATTCAGCTTTCAGCAGCCGTGGGCGAGCTCTTGAGAGAATTGTGGGTCTTTATCTGGTTGCCCTTGTCTATGTCCAGCTACACAACGAGATGAGGATGGTCATTGTCATTTTCTAAGCTGCGAACGGGCAGAAAGGTGAGAAAATGTCGGATTTTGACCATTTGTGCTCACCTTTCAATTTCAACAGACCTCTCTATAACATGACCCAGCTGTAATGTCAGTAGTCGCATTTGTTTGATTTTTGGTTTGCTTGTAGGGCGCAGGCACCCACATTCAGTGAGCCAGAAAATTTGGCACTGCTGTGAATAGTTTAGTCGCAAAGTGAAGATTCACGGGTAAAAAGCCCCAAACTTGGAGATAGGGTATTATTCAGCTTTCAGCAGCCGTGGGCGAGTTCTTTAGAGAAATGTGGGTCTTTTTCTGGGTGCCCTTGTCTATGTCCAGCTACACAACGAGATGAGGATGGTCATTGTCATTTTCTGAGCTGCGAACGGGCAGAAAGGTGAGAAAATGTCGGATTTTGACCATGTGTGCTCACCTTTCAATTTCAACGTACCTCTCTATAACATGGGCCAGCTGTAATGTCATTAGTCGCATATGTTTGATTTTTGGTTTGCTTGTAGGGCGCAGGCACCCACATTCAGTGACCCAGAAAATTTGGCACTGCTGTGAATAGTTTAGTCGCAAAGTGAAGATTCACGGGTAAAAAGCCCCAAACTTGGAGATAGGGTATTATTCAGCTTTCAGCAGCCGTGGGCGAGTTCTTTAGAGAAATGTGGGTCTTTTTCTGGGTGCCCTTGTCTATGTCCAGCTACACAACGAGATGAGGATGGGCATTGTCATTTTCTGAGCTGCGAACGGGCAGAAAGGTGAGAAAATGTCGGATTTTGACCATTTGTGGTCACCTTTCAATTTCAACGTACCTCTCTATAACATGAGCCAGCTGTAATGTCAGTAGTCGCATATGTTTGATTTTTGGTTTGCTTGTAGGGCGCAGGCACCCACATTCAGTGAGCCAGAAAATTTGGCACTGCTGTGAATAGTTTAGTCGCAAAGTGAAGATTCACGGGTAAAAAGCCCCAAACTTGGAGATAGGTTATTATTCAGCTTTCAGCAGCCGTGGGCGAGCTCTTGAGAGAAATGTGGGTCTTTATCTGGTTGCCCTTGTCTATGTCCAGCTACACAACGAGATGAGGATGGTCATTGTCATTTTCTAAGCTGCGAACGGGCAGAAAGGTGAGAAAATGTCGGATTTTGACCATTTGTGCTCACCTTTCAATTTCAACAGACCTCTCTATAACATGACCCAGCTGTAATGTCAGTAGTCGCATTTGTTTGATTTTTGGTTTGCTTGTAGGGCGCAGGCACCCACATTCAGTGACCGAGAAAATTTGGCACTGCTGTGAATAGTTTAGTCGCAAAGTGAAGATTCACGGGTAAAAAGCCCCAAACTTGGAGATAGGGTATTATTCAGCTTTCAGCAGCCGTGGGCGAGTTCTTTAGAGAAATGTGGGTCTTTTTCTGGGTGCCCTTGTCTATGTCCAGCTACACAACGAGATGAGGATGGTCATTGTCATTTTCTGAGCTGCGAACGGGCAGAAAGGTGAGAAAATGTCGGATTTTGACCATGTGTGCTCACCTTTCAATTTCAACGTACCTCTCTATAACATGGGCCAGCTGTAATGTCAGTAGTCGCATATGTTTGATTTTTGGTTTGCTTGTAGGGCGCAGGCACCCACATTCAGTGACCCAGAAAATTTGGCACTGCTGTGAATAGTTTAGTCGCAAAGTGAAGATTCACGGGTAAAAAGCCCCAAACTTGGAGATAGGGTATTATTCAGCTTTCAGCAGCCGTGGGCGAGTTCTTTAGAGAAATGTGGGTCTTTTTCTGGGTGCCCTTGTCTATGTCCAGCTACACAACGAGATGAGGATGGGCATTGTCATTTTCTGAGCTGCGAACGGGCAGAAAGGTGAGAAAATGTCGGATTTTGACCATTTGTGGTCACCTTTCAATTTCAACGTACCTCTCTATAACATGAGCCAGCTGTAATGTCAGTAGTCGCATATGTTTGATTTTTGGTTTGCTTGTAGGGCGCAGGCACCCACATTCAGTGAGCCAGAAAATTTGGCACTGCTGTGAATAGTTTAGTCGCAAAGTGAAGATGCACGGGTAAAAAGCCCCAAACTTGGAGATAGGGTATTATTCAGCTTTCAGCAGCCGTGGGCGAGTTCTTTAGAGAAATGTGGGTCTTTTTCTGGGTGCCCTTGTCTATGTCCAGCTACACAACGAGATGAGGATGGGCATTGTCATTTTCTGAGCTGCGAACGGGCAGAAAGGTGAGAAAATGTCGGATTTTGACCATTTGTGCTCACCTTTCAATTTCAACGTACCTCTCTATAACATGAGCCAGCTGTAATGTCAGTAGTCGCATATGTTTGATTTTAGGTTTTCTTGTAGGGCGCAGGCACCCACATTCAGTGACCCAGAAAATTTGGCACTGCTGTGAATAGTTTAGTCGCAAAGTGAAGATTCACGGGTAAAAAGCCCCAAACTTGGAGATAGGTTATTATTCAGCTTTCAGCAGCCGTGGGCGAGCTCTTTAGAGAAATGTGGGTCTTTATCTGGTTGCCCTTGTCTATGTCCAGCTACACAACGAGATGAGGATGGTCATTGTCATTTTCTAAGCTGCGAACGGGCAGAAAGGTGAGAAAATGTCGGATTTTGACCATTTGTGCTCACCTTTCAATTTCAACAGACCTCTCTATAACATGACCCAGCTGTAATGTCAGTAGTCGCATTTGTTTGATTTTTGGTTTGCTTGTAGGGCGCAGGCACCCACATTCAGTGACCCAGAAAATTTGGCACTGCTGTGAATAGTTTAGTCGCAAAGTGAAGATTCACGGGTAAAAAGCCCCAAACTTGGAGATAGGGTATTATTCAGCTTTCAGCAGCCGTGGGCGAGTTCTTTAGAGAAATGTTGGTCTTTTTTTGGGTGCCCTTGTCTATGTCCAGCTACACAACGAGATGAGGATGGTCATTGTCATTTTCTGAGCTGCGAACGGGCAGAAAGGTGAGAAAATGTCGGATTTTGCCCATTTGTGCTCACCTTTCAATTTCAACGTACCTCTCTATAACATGGGCCAGCTGTAATGTCATTAGTCGCATATGTTTGATTTTTGGTTTGCTTGTAGGGCGCAGGCACCCACATTCAGTGACCAGAAAATTTGGCACTGCTGTGAATAGTTTAGTCGCAAAGTGAAGATTCACGGGTAAAAAGCCCCAAACTTGGAGATAGGTTATTATTCAGCTTTCAGCAGCCGTGGGCGAGTTCTTTAGAGAAATGTGGGTCTTTTTCTGGGTGCCCTTGTCTATGTCCAGCTACACAACGAGATGAGGATGGTCATTGTCATTTTCTGAGCTGCGAACGGGCAGAAAGGTGAGAAAATGTCGGATTTTGCCCATTTGTGCTCACCTTTCAATTTCAACGTACCTCTCTATAACATGGGCCAGCTGTAATGTCAGTAGTCGCATATGTTTGATTTTTGGTTTGCTTGTAGGGCGCAGTCACCCACATTCAGTGAGCCAGAAAATTTGGCACTGCTGTGAATAGTTTAGTCGCAAAGTGAAGATTTACGGGTAAAAAGCCCCAAACTTGGAGATAGGTTATTATTCAGCTTTCAGCAGCCTTGGGCGAGTTCTTTAGAGAAATGTGGGTCTTTTTCTGGGTGCCCTTGTCTATGTCCAGCTACACAACGAGATGAGGATGGTCATTGTCATTTTCTGAGCTGCGAACGGGCAGAAAGGTGAGAAAATGTCGGATTTTGACCATTAATGTGGTCACCTTTCAATTTCCACGTACCTCTCTATAACATGAGCCAGCTGTAATGTCAGTAGTCGCATATGTTTGATTTTTGGTTTGCTTGTAGGGCGCAGGCACCCACATTCAGTGACCCAGAAAATTTGGCACTGCTGTGAATAGTTTAGTCGCAAAGTGAAGATTCACGGGTAAAAAGCCCCAAACTTGGAGATAGGTTATTATTCAGCTTTCAGCAGCCGTGGGCGAGCTCTTTAGAGAAATGTGGGTCTTTATCTGGTTGCCCTTGTCTATGTCCAGCTACACAACGAGATGAGGATGGTCATTGTCATTTTCTGAGCTGCGAACGGGCAGAAAGGTGAGAAAATGTCGGATTTTGACCATTTGTGCTCACCTTTCAATTTCAACAGACCTCTCTATAACATGACCCAGCTGTAATGTCAGTAGTCGCATTTGTTTGATTTTTGGTTTGCTTGTAGGGCGCAGGCACCCACACTCAGTGACCGAGAAAATTTGGCACTGCTGTGAATAGTTTAGTCGCAAAGTGAAGATTCACGGGTAAAAAGCCCCAAACTTGGAGATAGGGTATTATTCAGCTTTCAGCAGCCGTGGGCGAGTTCTTTAGAGAAATGTTGGTCTTTTTTTGGGTGCCCTTGTCTATGTCCAGCTACACAACGAGATGAGGATGGTCATTGTCATTTTCTGAGCTGCGAACGGGCAGAAAGGTGAGAAAATGTCGGATTTTGCCCATTTGTGCTCACCTTTCAATTTCAACGTACCTCTCTATAACATGGGCCAGCTGTAATGTCAGTAGTCGCATATGTTTGATTTTTGGTTTGCTTGTAGGGCCCAGGCACCCACATTCAGTGACCCAGAAAATTTGGCACTGCTGTGAATAGTTTAGTCGCAAAGTGAAGATTCACGGGTAAAAAGCCCCAAACTTGGAGATAGGTTATTATTCAGCTTTCAGCAGCCTTGGGCGAGTTCTTTAGAGAAATGTGGGTCTTTTTCTGGGTGCCCTTGTCTATGTCCAGCTACACAACGAGATGAGGATGGTCATTGTCATTTTCTGAGCTGCGAACGGGCAGAAAGGTGAGAAAATGTCGGATTTTGACCATTTGTGCTCACCTTTCAATTTCCACGTACCTCTCTATAACATGAGCCAGCTGTAATGTCAGTAGTCGCATATGTTTGATTTTTGGTTTGCTTGTAGGGCGCAGGCACCCACATTCAGTGAGCCAGAAAATTTGGCACTGCTGTGAATAGTTTAGTCGCAAAGTGAAGATTCACGGGTAAAAAGCCCCAAACTTGGAGATAGGTTATTATTCAGCTTTCAGCAGCCTTGGGCGAGTTCTTTAGAGAAATGTGGGTCTTTTTCTGGGTGCCCTTGTCTATGTCCAGCTACACAACGAGATGAGGATGGTCATTGTCATTTTCTGAGCTGCGAACGGGCAGAAAGGTGAGAAAATGTCGGATTTTGACCATTTGTGCTCACCTTTCAATTTCCACGTACCTCTCTATAACATGAGCCAGCTGTAATGTCAGTAGTCGCATATGTTTGATTTTTGGTTTGCTTGTAGGGCGCAGGCACCCACATTCAGTGACCCAGAAAATTTGGCACTGCTGTGAATAGTTTAGTCGCAAAGTGAAGATTCACGGGTAAAAAGCCCCAAACTTGGAGATAGGGTATTATTCAGCTTTCAGCAGCCGTGGGCGAGTTCTTTAGAGAAATGTGGGTCTTTTTCTGGGTGCCCTTGTCTATGTCCAGCTACACAACGAGATGAGGATGGTCATTGTCATTTTCTGAGCTGCGAACGGGCAGAAAGGTGAGAAAATGTCGGATTTTGCCCATTTGTGCTCACCTTTCAATTTCAACGTACCTCTCTATAACATGGGCCAGCTGTAATGTCAGTAGTCGCATATGTTTGATTTTTGGTTTGCTTGTAGGGCGCAGTCACCCACATTCAGTGAGCCAGAAAATTTGGCACTGCTGTGAATAGTTTAGTCGCAAAGTGAAGATTTACGGGTAAAAAGCCCCAAACTTGGAGATAGGTTATTATTCAGCTTTCAGCAGCCTTGGGCGAGTTCTTTAGAGAAATGTGGGTCTTTTTCTGGGTGCCCTTGTCTATGTCCAGCTACACAACGAGATGAGGATGGTCATTGTCATTTTCTGAGCTGCGAACGGGCAGAAAGGTGAGAAAATGTCGGATTTTGACCATTAATGTGGTCACCTTTCAATTTCCACGTACCTCTCTATAACATGAGCCAGCTGTAATGTCAGTAGTCGCATATGTTTGATTTTTGGTTTGCTTGTAGGGCGCAGGCACCCACATTCAGTGACCCAGAAAATTTGGCACTGCTGTGAATAGTTTAGTCGCAAAGTGAAGATTCACGGGTAAAAAGCCCCAAACTTGGAGATAGGTTATTATTCAGCTTTCAGCAGCCGTGGGCGAGCTCTTTAGAGAAATGTGGGTCTTTATCTGGTTGCCCTTGTCTATGTCCAGCTACACAACGAGATGAGGATGGTCATTGTCATTTTCTAAGCTGCGAACGGGCAGAAAGGTGAGAAAATGTCGGATTTTGACCATTTGTGCTCACCTTTCAATTTCAACAGACCTCTCTATAACATGACCCAGCTGTAATGTCAGTAGTCGCATTTGTTTGATTTTTGGTTTGCTTGTAGGGCGCAGGCACCCACACTCAGTGACCGAGAAAATTTGGCACTGCTGTGAATAGTTTAGTCGCAAAGTGAAGATTCACGGGTAAAAAGCCCCAAACTTGGAGATAGGGTATTATTCAGCTTTCAGCAGCCGTGGGCGAGTTCTTTAGAGAAATGTTGGTCTTTTTTTGGGTGCCCTTGTCTATGTCCAGCTACACAACGAGATGAGGATGGTCATTGTCATTTTCTGAGCTGCGAACGGGCAGAAAGGTGAGAAAATGTCGGATTTTGACCATTTGTGCTCACCTTTCAATTTCAACGTACCTCTCTATAACATGGGCCAGCTGTAATGTCAGTAGTCGCATATGTTTGATTTTTGGTTTGCTTGTAGGGCGCAGGCACCCACATTCAGTGAGCCAGAAAATTTGGCACTGCTGTGAATAGTTTAGTCGCAAAGTGAAGATTCACGGGTAAAAAGCCCCAAACTTGGAGATAGGTTATTATTCAGCTTTCAGCAGCCTTGGGCGAGTTCTTTAGAGAAATGTGGGTCTTTTTCTGGGTGCCCTTGTCTATGTCCAGCTACACAACGAGATGAGGATGGTCATTGTCATTTTCTGAGCTGCGAACGGGCAGAAAGGTGAGAAAATGTCGGATTTTGACCATTTGTGCTCACCTTTCAATTTCCACGTACCTCTCTATAACATGAGCCAGCTGTAATGTCAGTAGTCGCATATGTTTGATTTTTGGTTTGCTTGTAGGGCGCAGGCACCCACATTCAGTGACCCAGAAAATTTGGCACTGCTGTGAATAGTTTAGTCGCAAAGTGAAGATTCACGGGTAAAAAGCCCCAAACTTGGAGATAGGTTATTATTCAGCTTTCAGCAGCCTTGGGCGAGTTCTTTAGAGAAATGTGGGTCTTTTTCTGGGTGCCCTTGTCTATGTCCAGCTACACAACGAGATGAGGATGGTCATTGTCATTTTCTGAGCTGCGAACGGGCAGAAAGGTGAGAAAATGTCGGATTTTGACCATTTGTGCTCACCTTTCAATTTCCACGTACCTCTCTATAACATGAGCCAGCTGTAATGTCAGTAGTCGCATATGTTTGATTTTTGGTTTGCTTGTAGGGCGCAGGCACCCACATTCAGTGACCCAGAAAATTTGGCACTGCTGTGAATAGTTTAGTCGCAAAGTGAAGATTCACGGGTAAAAAGCCCCAAACTTGGAGATAG